TGTGACCCAAAAAGAAAAAAAAAGATTCTTTTTATATAACTCAGAATGTGACAACATATAAGATGTACATAATTATTTAGTTCCGGGGGGGGGGGGGGAACAAATGGTGATAGCAAGAAAATTACTAAATATTTCTATATAAAAAAATTAAATCTAATTATTTACAAAAATCTATACAACGATGATGTATAAGAATGTTTAGAAAGCTTCAGCACTCATTTAGGATTTAAAAAAAACTCAATAAATGGGCCAGAGAGAAAGTATAGTAAGCAAGTCTCTTGCCTTGCATGTGGCTAACTCAGTTTCAACCCCTGGCACCTTGTCCCCTGAGTCCCGTCAAGGAATGATCCCTTAGAACAGAGCCAGGAGTGTGACCCTCCCAAAACAAACAAACAAACAAACAAACAAAATACCCAAAAGACCAGAAACCCGACCCTCAAATTAGGAAAGAAAGACATCTCAACAGGATAAATGCTACATACCATAATGCCAGTTAATATCACAATCAATAGTAAAAAATGAAAATATTTTTCTTTAAAATCAGGATTAAGACAAGGTTATGCACTCTCACAAAATCTATTTAATTTAGTATTACAGGTGTTAGAGCATGTAGATTAGAAAGAAAAGAAATCCAGATGGATCCCCCCCTCCCGCCAAAAAAGAGAGGAACTATGATTATTCAAAGATGAAATGGGAATGTATCTAGTGAACCTGAATGAGTCCTTTAAAAAGCTTAAGAAACAGTGAATTAGAGCAGTGTCTGGTTTCAAATGTAGCACTGTCACACTGTCCTCCCGTTGTTCATTGATTTGCTCGATTGGGCAGACAACTCAACTTTCATTTTTAATGAACATATTTGAAAAGTCACTTCTCCAAAAAAGGACATATGGATGGTGGACAGAGGCATGAAAAGATGCTCATCTCACCAAATAAAGTGTTGGGAAGATCCTCCCAGGATGGGAGATGCGTGCTGAGAGTAGACTATAGACCTAACATGATTGCCACTCAATGCATCTTTTGCAAACCACAGAGCCCCAAAGGAGAGAGAGAGAACACAAGGGAATGTCCTGCCTCAGAGGCAGGGTGGGATGGGGGGGGGCGGGGGCGGGGGTGGGAGGGATACTGGGATCAGTGGTGGTGGAGAATGTGCACTGGTAGAGGGATGGATATTGTGTAACTGAAACCCAAGCACAAAAATTTGTAAGTCTACAACTGTACTCCATGGTGTTTCACTAATAAAAATTTAAAAAAAAAAAATAGAAAAGATGCTTATCTTCGCTCATGGTTAGAGAAATGTAAAAAGAAGCACAACGCAACTAGAACCACAAATTAGAACCACAATACCTTGTATTGTGAGCAAGTCTGACACCAAAAGCAGTGCTAACAATTTGCGTTACAGAGGGTTAAAAACCTTTGTGCCTTGTTGGTAAGAATGTAAGTTCAGAAAATGCTATGGGCTTCTTTGTGAAACTAAATACAGAGCTGCTGTCTGATCCAGAATGCTCTAGACATCTGTCTGAAGAGCATGAAAACATTAACACAGTTATATTCACCATATTTATTGCAGTTAATTTGCTGTCACAGGGACGCTGTCTCATTTGCCAAGGCTTTGAAAATCAGATGGGCTGGACACATAATGAGATTTGGAGACGACCGCTGGACTAGAGCCGTTACCAACGGGACGTCAAAAGATCGCGTGGCTGCCCACCTACGAGATGGTCAGACTTCTTCGTCAAGACCTTGAGCGATTGATTTGAGGCTCTTCGTGTTCCTAAAATGAGCAGATGCCATTGGGCTACACTAGCACGCAACAGGGACGAATGGAGACATTACTGGTGCCCGCTGGAGCAAATCGATGAGTAACGAGATGTCAAGTGATCAAGTGATTTGCTGTCACAAAAATTGTGTAAGCAGAAATTGCACATCGATAGATGACTGGATTAAGATGTGGTACAATTATGGGGGCTGGAGCAAAAGCAAGCAGGTAGGGCGTTTGCCTTGCACGCGGTTGACCCGGGTTCGATTCCCAACATCCCATATGGTCTCCTGAGCACCACCAGGGGTAATTTCTGAGTGCAGAGCCAGGAGTAAGCCCTGTGCATTGCCAGGTGTGACGCCCCTCCCCAAAAAATAGATGTGGTATAATTACATAACAGAATATTAGTCAGCCATTTTTTTTAAAAAATGGATACAATTTGGCAGCAAAATGGAAGGTTTTCTAAGAGAACATGTGAAGCAAAATAAATCAGAAAGGAAAAAGACAAAAATTAGATGACTTCAGGTACGTGTGCAATATAACGTAAAGTGAATGAATGACCCCTGCCCCAAAATAATGATGAACATTTAATGGACATTGACAACAGAACTGAGGTTTCCTAAGGAGAGAAGTTGGGGAAAGGAGAATTGTAAAAAAGTTTCATTTGTGAAAAAATAAAAACCAAAACCTAAAGCCACAAGGCGTCTTAAGGAACTATTAGTTTAATCAAGGCGATGTGGTTTTAGAGAACACAGGATGTCCCGGAGGCTGCGATATGGTTCTAGGTCGTTGGTTTCCAGACCTGTGTCCCGTGGCATGGGACCATGGATGGTTTCAGGTTTTAAGGGGAAACCCTAGAGTTCTTGGGCTTGGCTCTTAGGAATTAGATACCAAATCATGGAGAGGACCCAATGCCTCTCCAGGCAGCTCAGAAGGCAGAAGTGAAGGTATCCTTCCCCCGGCTGGCCACATTGGGGACAGTTCTTTTTGTGTTTGTTTGTTTGTTTGTAGGTTGGGTCACACCCAGTAATGCTCAGGACTGGCTCTTCTTTGGGAATCACTCCTGGTGTGCTCAGGGGACCATGTGGGGTGGTGGAGATGGTAGTCAGGTTGGCCGTATGTAAGGCAAGTGCCCTGCCTGCAGCCCTATCTCTCAGTCTTGCCTGCTTCTTCAGCGTCCATCCCAGCACAGGGCAGTCTCTCTCTTGCTCTCTTTTTTAAAATTTTTTAATTTTATGATAGTTCACAGTATTTGATTACATTTAATATTCACATACCAATTCCATCACCATTCCAGCTTCCCACCACCAAATTTGGGATGTTTCCATCCCAAGCCCCAATCCCTGTCCCAAAGCACAACCGAAATAATATATTTTGTATTGTCTGTTATGGAAAATCGCTGAAACTGCTACAAAAAAAAGTATCCATAGAGGAAATTGTGTGAAGATTTTTCTACTTTGGCAGGGGCCATTAAGACATTCTTTAGGATATCACAAACATGTTGTTAAAGGTTGAGTGATGTGAGCTTTTGTATATATATCTGAAAATATGTACATATGCATATATATATGTATATATTTCCCTCTATGATTTGTTGCCTACTATTTGAACCCCATCAAATATGGTGTGGTATTTATGGAGACTGGGTAGGGATTGTCTTATTATGTGCCGCACAGCTGTGAATGCAGCCACAGTCCAAGAATACATTCACTCATAGATGAGGCTTGGTCTGAGCATGTGGGAAGCAGCCTTGAGTGTGGCAGTGGGTGGGTTCTGAAGAATTTCGGCTGCTGGGGCTGGGTCTCTTGGGGCAGGGAGGACTCTCACCCACCCCCCTCTGGAGTGCCCAGGACAGTCTCTCTTATAGCATTTAAGAGTTACACACAGAGATTCAGGAGAAACAAAAACAGCTGACAGTGTGAAGAGGAGTAATACAAAATAAAGAAAATATTCTTATTTGACAGGATTTGATAGTAACTTGCTACGTACTTTGAGATTTAGTCTAGGGCCAGTGTGATGGCAAAAGTGGTAGATTACACACCCTGTATGTGTCGACTCAGACCCCAGCACTAATTGGATCCTCCCCACACTGCTGGGAGTGACACCCCTGCCCCATCCTCATTCTATTTTCAGCATTTTTCTTTAGGGTTCTACAAATGTAGTTGTAGCTGCAGATAAAAATGTTTACAAAATAATGTTTCTCTCTATAAAAATGGGCTGGAGCAATAGCACAGCTGGTAGGGCATTTGCCTTACACACAGCCGACCCAGGTTCGATTCTTCCGTCCCTCTCAGAGAGCCCAGCAAGCTACCAAGAGTATCCTGTCCGCATGACAGAGCCTGGCAAGCTCCCCGTGGCGTATTCTATATGGCAAAAACAGTAACAAGTCTCACCATAGGGACGTTACTGGTGCCCACTTGAGCAAATGGATAAATAATGGGAGGACAGTGCTCTATAAAAGCGGCTTCATTTTATTTGCTTTTGTTTTGGGTTTGTCCAAACTGGCAGGCTACCGAATGCAGCCTCCCCACACGGCAGAGTCTGGCAAACTCCCCATGGTGTACCCAATATGCCAAATACCAGTAACAATGATGGGTCTCATTCTCCTAAAGAGCCTTGAATATAGCACTTTCTTAAAAATCTCAGGGCTAGGATGAAGGAGACGTTACTGGGGCCTGCTCGAGGCAATCGACGACTAACAGGATGATTTGTGATTTGTGATTGTTTTGGGTCCATGACCAACTGTGCTCAGGGGTCATTCCTGGTGGTGCTCAGGGGAACAGCAATTGAACCTGGGAAGGGAAGCACCCTGCCTGCTGGACTATCATTCCAATTCTCTATGCTAGTGTCTTCAAATCTGCCGCATAGGGGCTGGAAAGATAGCACAGTGGGTAGGGCACTTGCTTTGCATCCTCAGCATCCAATATGGTCCCGCAATCACCGCCTAGGAGTGATTCTGGAATGCAGAGCTAGGAGTAACCCTTAAGCAATACCAGGTCTAGTCTAAAAAGTGGGGGAAATAAATAAATGAATAAATAAATAAATTAAATTAAATAAAGTAAGAGCCGCCACGTAGAGAATTTATAAGTAATCTGCAAACATTAAGATTTGGGCATGATAGTTACATAATTTAACTTATGAAAGTAATTTGTATATGTGGCTTAGATCTCTAAGAGAAGGTAATTCAAAGGACCCAGGAAAAAAAAGTGAATGCTACATCATTAACAGGAATAGCACCAGAGGATACGTGCTAATCACCTTTATTCTTAAATTTTTTTAAATTTATGTACAACCTTTAATCAGTACAATTTTACAACAGACTTCTCAAGTATTTGATTTTTTGGTTTGTAAGTGTAAACCACAGTTTTGAGTCCTGTTTAAAAAACCTTTTAAAAACAGTACTGATTTCAAAACATTCATCAAATAATTTACACTTTTCAGAAAACAGGAGAATTAGCTATTACATTATCAACATGATCATTACAAATCTTTATCAGTGAAAAAAACATTGTCCCCTGCCTCAGAGTAGTACAAATCTCACCTCTTCAGAGGGAAACAGACTGCAAGAGTAATGAAAAGATATCAACACAATTGGCCTATTAATCACAAGAAGAGAAAGGGGAAACTTTTTTTTTTTTAACAAGGACTGATCCCTGGAAGATGACAGTTATCAAAGGTAATGCGAGGCCTTAAAATTTTTCTCTCGAAAATTCCTTGATGTCTCCTGAGTGGCTGAATTATTCCGAAGATTTGCCCATCTCAGGAAGCAGCTGCTAATCCCGGTGTTGGAATGCTGGTCGCAACTTGCATTTTAAGAGTGCTGTGATAAAGTGCACAGGAAGAAGGTCAAACCTGTGGTCCAGACTGTGTCTCCTCCAAGTGCCCTTTTTTCAAGATTACCATCTTTGAAATTTGCATTTTGAGTTCCCTGCCTGGTTCTAGTCCTGGTCTACAGAAAACCCTTCAGCATTCATAGGAAGGTCACTCTTTGTCAACGGTCCCCATCACCCACCCCCAAACTGAGCTCAACGACCAAAGAAAACTCACTGCTTGGGCCAGGGAGTTAGCACAGCGATCTAGGGTACATGCCTTGAATGCTCACAGACCCAAGTTCCATCCCCAGCCCTGCCTCCCACTAAAGCAAGTCCGGAGCACCTTTGGGATGGCTTTGAGCATCTCTGGGATTGCCCTGAGCATCTCTGGGATGGTCTTGAGCTCCACTGGGATGGCCCTGAGTACCTCTGGGCCCAAGCAATGAACCTGGCTGGCCAAATATTGCCAGGAGTAAGCCCTGGGTTCCCTGAGCACTTCTTGGGAGACCCTCATCCCTCCCCCTCCACACACAAAAAATTAACTTACGGCTTTCTTCAAAGCTTGGTCTATATCTTCCAGGAGGTCGACTTGATCTTCTAAGCCCACAGAGAGTCGAATCAGCGTGTCGCTAATGCCCAGGACCTCTCTGTCACTCTTAGGAACCGAGGCATGGGTCATGATGGCCCTGGAAAAAAGGGGACACCGCACCAGGGAAGCAGGTTTCTGTCTCACAAACTGCCATTATCTTCGATTCTTTTTTTCTATTCCAAATACCAACTGTTGGTATTAGCCGGGGCTAAGGCAGATTGAAGAGAAGGGCAGAAGCAGGGCTGGAGCTATAGTACAGTGGGGAGGGCATTTGCCTTGCATGCAGCCGACCCGGGTTTGATCCCTGGCATCCCATATGGTCCCCTGAGCACTGCCAGAGGTAATTCCTGAGCGTAGATCCAGGAGTAACCCCTGAGCATTGCCAAGTGGACCCAAAAAAGCAAAGAAAGCAAAATAAAAGAAAAAAAAAGAGAGAAGGGCAGAAGGGACAGCTTGCAGGACCTTGAAATCCTGAACCCAGGTGTCAAGGTGAAAGGCTCCAGTAACTGCTTTATCTCTACTCTTTCTCCCTGAAGAATCTCCCCTTGAGATAAACCCAGTGGAAAGATGCTTCTCCAGATAGGCTAAGGCCCAAGGACTGTGAAAGTTTCATCAGATTGGGGCCAGGGAGATAGCACAGCAGATCAAGTGCTCGCCTCGCATGCAGTCAACCCAGGTTGAATCCCCAGCATCCCATTTGGTCCCCATATAGTCCCTATCCTCCAGCACTGCCTGTAACCTTTGTATGAGCCAAGGATCCCCCTGGGAACATTTTCCCTCATTCTCACAATCACTGTCAGAGCTGGTGGCAGTGGATCTTAGAGGCACAGCAGCTGAGAGGAGAGAGCAGAGCTTTCTAGGGGCGGCTGGCCCTGCCTCCTCTCTCCTCTGCAGACAGCACTCTAGGGCCTGAAGAAGGTCGCGGAGAACAAGGTCCTGCTCCCAGTCCACCCACCTTGACGGGGCTGCAGCTTCGCAGAGCTAAGCATTTTCAGATCCTGCCATCTACCCCTAGTGCTCTATTTCTGAGAGAGCCTTAGAGTAATACAAATTTTGTTATGATGAAAAAAAGAAATGTGGGGCTGGAGCGATAGTACAGGGGGAGGGTGTTTGCCTTGTACGCAACTGACCCAGGTTTGATCCCCGGCACCTTATATGGTCCCCCGAGCACCGCCAGGGGTAATTCCTGAGTGCAGACAGAAAGAACCCCTGAGCATCTCCAGGAGTGACCCAAAAGCCCTCCGCCTGCCCCCCCAAAAAAAATGAAAAAAAAAGGAAAGGAAAGAAGGAAGGAAAGAAAGAAAGAAAGAAAGAAAGAAAGAAAGAAAGAAAGAAAGAAAGAAAGACAGGGCTGGAGTGATAGCACAGCAGATAGGGCAATTGCTTTGCATGTGGCCCATCAGGGTTCGATCCCTGGCATCCCGTTGGTCCCCCCAGGACTGACAAGAGTAATTCCTGATGGGCAGGAAGTGTGACCCCCGCCCCCCGCCCCCGTAACAAATGTAGAAGCATCACAGCCAGCCCTGGTGAACTCCACAGTCTGATGTGTGATCACTGGTGAGTATCACAATTGGAGGGTGGGGGGGTGGTGGTCGTGGTGGGTGTTGTCCCAGTCATTGCCAGAATAATGAAGAGAAGTGGGAGAGGTTAGAAAAGAAAAGAAATGGAGTTGGAGCAATAGTACAGTGGGTAGGGCACTTGCTTTGCATGTGGCCCGTCTGGGTTCTATCCCTGGCATCCCATATGGTTCCCCCAGCACTGTAGCACTGTCCTCCCATTGTTCATCGATTCACTCGAGCAGGCACCAGTAACATCTCCATTGTGAGACTTGTTGTTACTGTTTTGGGCTTATCGAATACGCCATGGGGAGCTTGCCAGGCTCTGCCGTGCGGGTGGGATACTCTCAGTAGCTTGCCGGGCTCTCTAAGAGAGACAGAGAAATCGAACCCGGGTCAGCCTCATGCAAGGCAAATGCTCTACCCCTATGCTATCGCTCCAGCCCCCCGCACTGACAGTAATTTCTGTGTGCAGAGCAGAGCCAGGAGTAATCACTTAATCACTGGGTGTAACCCCCCCCAAAAAAAAAAAAACAAAAGAATGCTTGTTGGGGCCAGTGATAGCACAACAGGTAGGGCGTTTGCCTTGCATGCATCTGACCCAGGTTTGATCCCCAGCATCGCATATGGTCCCCCGAGCACCGCCAGGAGTGACTCCTGAGTGCAGAGCAAGGAATAACCCCTGAGCATTGCTGGGTGTTACCCAAAAAGGAAAAAAAAAAAGAAAAAGAAAAAAAGAGAGGAAAAAAATGCGTGGTGGCCCGGGTGGCATACATGTGACAGTCAACGTGTAAATGCTTGGTCCATTGCACAGGTGGGAAGCTGAGGCTCACAGGATAAACGGCTCAGGGTGGAGCCAGGCTCGCCTTTCCAGACCCACCCTTCCCTCCTGCCACCGTTTCTTACACAAAGCACTGGAGCCACGTGGCTAAGCTGCTCTTCTGTGACAATGAGCAATCAGCAACTTTCAGAACCTGTGACCTGCTCTGAAAAATCAGCTGTAGGACACCTGACCATAGGTTCTAATCCGTGTGGGTGGGAAAACACCAAGAACTGGACGGGTCAGGGGTGGGGTGGGGCTTTAGCCTTGTAGGTCCCCTCCAGGTTCACAAGAAGGAACTTGATGGGAGGCTCACGGTGGGCTTCCGCCCAAACAAGGGCAGGAAGGGGCTTCATCACAGACGTATTCTCCATCGTCCGGGGGGCTGGAACTCAATGCGGCCACGTCCACCGGTCCCCCCACCCTCCCAGGGCAGAGCAGGATCAGGCGCGTAGGCCTGGGTCAGTGGGCAACATTCCTGTCATAGAATCACTGCCGGGTAACGTTCCTGGGAACATTCCCTAAAACTGTGCAGAAACGCCACCCAGGTTGAATTGCCACCTGCACTTCTGTGTTCACTGCAGCGCTGTTCACAAGAGCCAGAATCTGGGAAAAAAAACACGTGCCCAACAACAGATGGCTGGATAAAGAAACTGTGGTACATCTACACAGTGGAATACTATGCAACCGCCGGAAAAAACGAAGCCATGAAAGTTGCTTATGAATGGATGGACATGGAGAGTATCATGCTGAGTGAGATGAGTCGGAAGCAGAGGGACAGACATAGAATGCTAAGCTCATTTGTGGGATATAGTAAAACATAGCATGAGACTATTATCTCATTCTTACTTTGGACAACCTGGCAGGCTACCGAATGTAACCTGTCCGCACGGCAGAGTCTGGCAAACTCCCTGCGGTGTATCCAATATGCCAAATACCAGTAACAATGATGGGTCTCATTCTCCTAACCCTGAAAGAGCCTTGAATATGGCACTTTTTAGAATCTCAGGGCTAGGGCGAAGGAGACGTTACTGGGGCCTGCTCGAGGCAATCGGCGAACAACAGGATGATCGTGATTGTGATCGTGAGACTATTACAGTAGAAACATGGGCCAGGAGGACTGGTCCATGGTTGGAAGTGTGCCACAAGTAGGGGCCAGGGAGGACAGTTAGGACAGAGAAGGGGCCACTAGGAAAATGACAGCTGGAAATGATCCCTCTGGACAAGAGCTGAGTGCTGAAAGGCAGTAAAGGAACACAGAGGATAACCTTTTGGTACCTGTATTGCAAACCATAATGCCCAAAATGTGAGGTGGGGGGAGGATGGGGAAGAGAGAGAGAGAGGGAGAGGGAGAGAGAGAGGGAGAGAGAGAGAGAGAGAGAGAGAGAGAGAGAGAGAGAGAGAGAGAGAGAGAGAGAGAGAGAGAAATACCTGCCATAGAGGCAGGCAGGGGAATGGGGGCCGGGCAGGTGGTGGGAGGGTTTTGAAACATTGTATGTAAATCCAATCATGAACAACCAACTTTGTAACTGTGTATCTCACAGTCATTCCATTAAAAAACCAAAATCACTGCAGGATTACCCTGCTGGCAGAAGAAGAAATAAAATTCTGGAAAACAAAGCCCACTGCACCCTAGTGAGACTATATCGTTTTCCTTCCCCGACACCCCCCCCCCCCCCAGTCCACTATCTTAAGCCATTCCTGATGGTATCAAACTCCTCTCCCCAAACAGTCAGTAAAGCTGGCAGCCAAGTCAAAATAAAATAGAGGAAAACAGATGAATACTTACGGAAGTTCAGCAAGACTCTCATATCCGCCCAAGCTCTCAGCCAGGGTAAATAACTACAACAAAGCAAACATTTGTTTTGCTATTTCACTCAAATCAATACAATGACATTGTAAAAATAAATGTTTAGGACAAATGATTACTGGGACAGGGCACGGGAATCTGCAGCGATCACGAAACAACTATCCATCAGAAAAGAGAATCAGAGGGGGAAAGAGAAAATAGAAAATAGAAGCACCAATGAGACTGCTTTCACTTTCTTTCTTTTTTTCCTTTTTTTTTTTTTTTTTTTTTTTTGCGTTTAGGGTCACACCCGGCAATGCACAGGGGTTACTCCTGGCTCTGCACTCAGGAATTACTCCTTGGGGTGCTGGGGGGGGGGAACCATACAGGATGCTGGGAATCAAACCTGGGTTGGCCGCATGCAAGGCAAACGCCCTACCCGTTGTGCTATTACTCCAGCCCCTGCTTTTACTTTCATGGGCTGGAGCTGAGGCAGGAGATGGTGGGTACTGGACCAGGGAATCCTCGCATATATGCGCACCCTCCCCACCCCGATAGTTTCATTTTTACTTTTATTGATGGGGGGGGGTGCGGGGGTACTTGGACTACACCCAGGTGTGCTCAGGCCTTACTCCTCCTGGCTCTATACTCGAGACCACTCCTGGCAGGGCTCAGGGAACCATATGGTGGGGCTAGGGATCAAACTGGGTCAGCCGCATGCAAGGCAAGCACCTTGCTCCTGAACTACCCTGCCCCGACCATTTCTATTTTTATAACACTGTCATGAGGGTGCCACATCCGCTAGTGCTCAAGGGGTCATGTGGTGCCAGGGATGGGATGCAGGGTCTCACGTAGACAAGGCCATCTAAAGTGTGACTGGTTCCTTTTTTTTTTTTTCAGCCCACCATCAGGTGTGACTTTTTAAAACTTGAAAAGTTGATCAGAATCGATATCTTCTGTTCCTCATCAATTTGACTTTACATATATATTATATATACTTTACATACATATTATATCTAAAGCCTCGGCATCACTAGATTTGATTAGCTCTGTGATCATTCCCTTGATATCACACAATAATACACACTAATGTACATCCCTCATTAAACGGATACATCCTTTTCCTGCAGAAAAAGGAAGTCAAGGAAATAAATTTCAGTTTGGGGGCTTAGTGTTCTGGTGTTATCTAGAACAACTGATCACTGTCCTCCCGCTGATCATCGATTTGCTCGAGCGGGCCCAGTAACGTCTCCATTGGAGACTTTGTTGTTACTGTGTCTGGCATATCGAATATTCTCGGTAGCTTGCCGGGCTCTCCGAGAGGGGCGGAGGAATCGAACTCGGGTCGGCCATGTTGGCTGAATGAAAGACAAACACCCTACCGCTGTGCTATCGCTCCAACTTTTTCTAGAACAAAAGTTCTAGAAATCACTCTCACCCTGGTATGAAACCTAGCCCATTACCTGAGTTTCAGTTGTTTTTGTTTGTTTTTGGTTTGGGAGTCACAGCCAGCAGTGCTCAGGGCTTACCCCTAGCTCTGAGCTCAGGGATCACTCCTGCAGTGCACAGAGAACTATATGGGGTGCCAGGAATTGAACCCGGTTGGCTGTGTGCCAGGCAAATGCCCTACCCACTGTACTTTATCTCTCTGGCCCCTACTACCTAATTTTAGAGGTGGAGAGATATTTATTTATTTAGGCATTTTGGGCCATCCCCGGCAATGCTCAGGGGTTACTCCTGGCTCTGCACTCAGGAATCATTTCTGGCAGTGCTCACAGGACCATATGGGATGCTGGGGATCGAACCCTGGTCAGCCGCGTGCAAGGCAAATGCCCTCCCCGCTGTACTAACACTCCAGCCCCAAGGTGGAGAGATTTTAGACACTATTAAGGCTTGGACAGATGGAAACCGCAGTGCATACATGAGCACTGTCATACTGAGAAGCCAGTATCGGCTGCAGAATCCGCATCCCAGAAGTTGCTGTGAAAACAAAACAGAAGAGCCCACACACCTTCCAGCCTGCCTGGGGTTTCTAGGTCTTTGCCAGGCCGGCTGTCAGGACAGCTCTGGGCGGTACTGTGCACTGCACGGTGATGAAGCCATCACATCATAGTGGGCAAAGGGCTTGGCTTTGGCATACACCACGTGAGCTTGGAGGGTGCAGCTGAGTTCTGTGATCCTGGGGAGGGGCAAGCTGTACTCCAGAAATGGTACACTAGTAGGAAACACCAGGAATCAATAAGATTGGCACATATACATAGGAAGGTAAAGGAAAAAGGTAAAATGGGGATCCGGGGAGATGGCTGAAAGGGCTGGAGCACATGCTTGGCATGTGAGTGCCCTGGGTTGGATCCCTGTCCCCTACACACAACCTGAGTAGACTCTAAACCAAGAGTGAACGGATCCAACCACCTGTCAAAACTAAAGAACGGGGGCTGGAAAGATAACATAGCAGGTGGTTAGGGAGTGAGCCTGACTTGCCCACTACCACCTGGGTTTGATCCCCCGCACTCCAAGTGCATCCCCTGAGCACTGCCACGAGTGATCCCTGATCAGCTGGAGTAAGCCCTAAGCACCGTCAGGTGTGACACCCCCCTCGCCCAAACCAAAACCAAACCAAAGAACCTACCGATGATGTCTGGTTGGACTGGAAACTTACAGAGTTCTTTTCCAGAGATAAATCATTTGGAAATGGGGATCACTTTTAAACGACTCTGGAGGCCAAGTGCACCGGAAGATGCCATCTCTGACTGATGGCAGCATCTGGACAGTGACGCAGTGGAACCTGATCATTCAGAGGCCTGCGCCCTGCGTGCCAGCCCAGTGCCTTTCCCCATGGGCATGACCCGCAGGCACGGGTCGCTCAACTGAGCAGGGGGCAGGAGAAAGAAGCTGCCATTGGGGGATGGGGTAGGTGTGTGAAACCCCTGTCTGTAGAGATTACCTTTAGGTTCTTGAGGAAGTTCTCGGCGTGCTGCAGGGTGCCCTTAATGTAGAAGGTGATCATCCCCGGGCACCCCGTGCACTGGCGCTTGGCCAGCTCGTGCTGCGGATGTGAGGGGAGCCCTGTGAGGAGGCAGAAGGCGGGAGTGTTACTGCAGAGCCAAGCGCATCACTGCTGGACAAAAGGTTCTTACTGTTCATTGAAGAAAACTGCAAAGACGCCTAACAGACCTCAGGGCCATGCTCTTATCTGACGACTGATCTGCTCCCTGCGACCTCAAACACCTTCCCGACCTCTTTTCTACCATCCCCATGCACCTCATTTTGCGGGGGGTGGGGTCACTCCTAGTATGCCCAGTGACCATTCCTTAAAGTCCTGTGTGGACAAGACACAGTGGCGGGGATCAAACCCAGCTGGGTCACATGCAAGGCAAGTACCATCACCCCTGAGCTATCCTTCCAGTCCCTCCATGAACTTTTCTGTTTGTTTGTTTCTGGTTTGGGGATCAAAGCCAGGCTGGTCACGGGCCAGGCAAGTGCCCGACCCACTGTCCACTGTCGCTGTCCTATCTCTCCAGCCGCGGGATGTGTGCATAGATTGAGATGATCGTACCAGGATAGATAACCTTCTCCACCAGAGGATGTGACTCCAGAAAGTGGGCGACGGCCATTCCGTTTTCAAAATGCTTCTCCATACGGACTTGAAGAGTCTTCAGACCCCTATTGCAGAGGAAACAGTCCATAGGGGACGGGACGGCGCCGATTGCTGCCAAATTAACAGACCTGGGGTCAGGATGAACCGGGAACAGACCCAGAGAATTCCCTGAGTCTCTTTTGAGCGTGAACCCGAGAAGCCCAGCATCCTACTAGCTTTGATTGAGGAAGGAGGCTAGGGGTGGTGGGATTATTAATATATCAACTCTCAAGCAGAGATTGAAGCATAGATAGGATCAGAGATGTGGCTTTTTTTTTATTATTATTGTTTTTTATTTTTGGGTAACACCCAGCGATGCTCAGGGCTTATTCCTGGCTCTGCACTCAGGAATCACCCCTGGTGGTGCTCAGGGGACCATATGGAATGCTGGGAATCGAACCCAGGTCGGCCGCGTGCAAGGCAAATGCCCTACCTGCTGTGCTATCACTCCAGCCCCGAGATATGGCTTTTGAAAGGAGAGAGCCCGGGCATGACTCTTGGGGCGGGAGCTTCTGCCCTGCAGTATGACGGGCAGGATCATACCTGTCCCCATCTGAGGCACCGCAGGGTGTGTCCCTGGTAGTTGGCAGCAGTGAGGACCAAAGAACAATTAGGACCACATAGTTGGACCAATTATGGCTAAAAACTGGCCATGGAACACTGCTGGGGCACCATGCCCTTTTAGAAAAAAAAATTAGAGGGAGTGTAGGGAGGAACATAAATGAAAAGTGAGGAGCAATGGGTCTCTTGAAAACAGAGCAGAGGCTGGAGCAATACCACAGCACGTAGGGAGTTGCCTTGTATGCGGCTGACCTGGGTTCGATTCCCAGCATCCCATATGGTCCCCTGAGCACTGCCAGGGGCAATTCCTGATTGCAAAGCCAGGAGTAACCCCTGTGCATCGCTGGTATGACCCAAAAAGGAAAAAAAAAACAAGGAGAGAGAGAACAAAAGGGAATGTCCTGCCACAGAGGCAGGGTGGGATGGGGGGGATGGGGGGTGGGAGTGATACTGGGACCCGTGGTGGTGGGAAATGGGCACTGGTGGAGGGATGGGTATTTGATCATTGTATAATTGAAACCCAAGCACAAAAATTTGTAAATCTACAACTGTACCTCATGGTGTCTCACTAATAAAAAATAAAAAATAAAAAAATAAAGAAAGAAAAAAGAAAACAGAGCAAAAACACAGTGATGGATGTTTCAAAGAGAAGATAAATAGTCCTTTCTGTGACTCTCACGAAATGACATTCTGCACCTAGTTTAACCCCAATTTTCTGGAAAAGTAATTACAACATACAGAGAAAGAGTCGTTCAGGCCCTAATGTTACGGAATGTTCTAGCAACATTCTCTTCAGCTTTTGGCAGATGCAGCTTCTGGTTTTACATTATCTTGAAGGTACACACCCCATTCCTACTGGCTTGAACAAAAAGAATTTGGCCAGCAGTAAGGCTTTCTCGCTCCTCAGGGGCCCTCTGGTGCCTTTTATCCTTATTTCCCAGAAGAGACTTTATTCCTCATTTTGTTTGTTTTTTTTAATCTGTCTAATTACAGCGCCTAAACCAAATAAATCCTCCATCACAGAAATAACCCAGCAATCTAAACAGGAAGTGGTTTTTAACATCAGTTGAAAAATAGTTATCTCTTCAGTGCTTTAGAAAATTAACAGCCCTTCTAGAGTTGAAAGGATGAATATAAAAAAGGCTCTACTCCTAATCTTGTTCATTTTTTTTTTTTTAAGAGAACAAACTCATTAAGTCCTAAGGTTGAGGACAACAACTTCCTTTAAGGCCTGAGAAGCTTAAGCATAATTAAGCCTCACACCGGGCTAGTGTTGGAATAGGCTGGGCCTGTTCTGAGAGAAAGACCCGCAAAAAGGTCTACAGCCCCACAGAGAGAAGCCAACGGGCTGAGGGCAGACTTTGCTTACAGAAGGCCCAGCTTCAAGTTGCAGTACTGCATGGACCCCTGAGCCTGAGTACGACCAACCCTGAGCACCGCCAGATTTGGGCCCAAAAAAACAAAAACAAAAAGCCCAGCGGCCTGGGAGAGTTCAATTCCCCACACAACCCATGAGCCTGACAGGACACAGTGACAGGTTGAGGGAGGGGTCCTCAGAACACCCCACCAAGAATCTCTGTCAGAACCCTGACTATTTGGGCTCTCCACATCCTTTCAGTCAGAATGAGTGGGAAAGATTGATCCTTTGCACCCAACCGACAAGCGAGCAGTGGTGGTCCAATCAGCAGGGCACACGCCTCCTCACAGCATGTTCCTGGTGGCCTGAACAGAACGAACCCAGGGAACGTCGGTCTCTCCTGAGGCCAAGCGCCACTCCATGCCAGTGCCCGGCCAGCAGCTCACTGAGGAAACCCAGCAGGCTGTTTGTTTCTGGGTTCAAAGCCTGACTTGGATACGCTTATAAAATTGCCTCGCTTTCAGGGACAGCCTTGACCTCATGAGCGAAATACAAGATCCACTTGGGCTACATGAAATTATGACAGAGACAGAACTGGAAAAAAAAAAATCACAAAACTTCTGTTCTAAATCCTGTTGAACTCTCACTAGAATTTTATAACACATTTAAAAACTTTCTTCACACACACACATACACACACACACACACACCCCGCAGAATTTCCCCCAGCCTCATCTTCGTTCCTCATTTCTTCTTTTGTAAAGTAGGACCAGACTCATACTGTACAAAATTTAGCATAAATACAGATATCAAGTGCAGTCATTCTTCTATAACAAGGACATAAAAGGAAATCCAGATTTCTTAATACTTACAATTTTGCAAAAAACGGAGCTTTTCATGGAGGGTGTCAGAATTGAGAGACACTAAGCCCATGACAACATCACTGTGGCCTAAAAAAAAAAAAAAAAAGAAGAAAGAAAAAAGGCTTTAAATTAAAAATAATATATGTTCGTTCTACGTTTTCAAATTTTTCAAATGTGATTGTTACTTAGAAAAACTGTCTGGGGGGCAAAAGCTCCCACAGAAAAAACCTTAAATGGACTTTGAATTGACAACCACAATTCTACTAAGAACAATAAAAATCACGTAACAATTAAATATTCTGGGGCTACAGAGAAAGTGCAGGGATTAAGGTGCTTCTCTTTCACGTGGCCGACACTAGTTCAATTCCCATTTAGTCACAGGGGCCCAGAGCCCCGCAGGGAGTGACCCTCGAGCACAAAGCCAGGAGTAGCCCCTGAACTCCACCAGGTGTGAACCCCAAACCAAAAACTACACAATAAACACATGAAAATTAAATGTCTATGGGCCAGGGAAGTGCCTCAGATGGTAAGAACACCTGTCTAGGTGAAACTTCATGCATGTTCCTCAAAACTTCCTCCAAACATCACCGAGGCCCCTATTTTATTTTAATCTTTATCTTTTTATTTATTTATTTATTTATTTTTGGCTTTAGGGGTCACACCTGGTGATGCTCAGGGGTTATTCCTGGCTCTACATACAGGAATTACTCCTGGCGGTGCTTGGGAGACCATATAGGATGCCAAGGATCGAACCCAGGTTGGCTGTGTGCAAGGCAAACCTGCTGTGCTATCTGGTCCTCTCCTTATTCTGAAAAATTGAATCACCATGAGATACACAGTTACGAAGCTGCTCATGACTGGGTTTCAGTCACATAATGTTCCAACATCCGCTCCTTTACCAGTGTACACTTGCCACCACCATTGTCCCCAGTGTCCCTCCTACCCCATACTCCACATGCCTCTATGGCAGGCCCTTTTCTTCTTCCTCTCTCTCTCTCTCTCTCTCTCTCTCTCTCTCTCTCTCTCTCTCTCTCTCTCCTCTCTCTCTCTCTCTCCTTTATTTCAAAAGTGTCTCTTTTTAAAACTGTCAGCAGGGCAATGCTTTACAGATTTGAATCCTGTGCTTATAATGCATATGTACAAGTTTGCCTGCTCTTAATGAAATCCCCAAATTAATCAAAGTACAACTTCCTCAATGAGTCGCAGAGAAACCTGAATAACAGAAGAAAAAATACAAACTTTTTGGAACTAACATTCAACATGTAGACACTTTGTGGGTCTTACCATTCATGTATTTTGTTGCTGAATACATACAGATATCAGCTCCCAGAGCCAAAGGCCGCTAGAAAAGAACAAAAGGTTTATATTTTAATATAAATATGGCAATATAAATATGGAAATTCCTTTGAAAATATGCTTCATTACTTCCATGTTTGCTAGTGCAAATTCTATTCCCAGTCTCCTAAGTTTTCCAAATTACATTCATCTTAAAATTTTCCAGAATCTCTGATATTACCTTTTCCTTTTTTCCCCTCTGTTACCACATAAAAATGAAGATTGGACCCGTATTCAATTCAAAGGTGCAAACTTTCTAGAAACAGCAGACCAATTCAGGCAATAGGTCACCCCACCGAGCAGCTCTTGATTGAATCCTAAACTGGTCACTTAAGAAGGGACGCTGACATTTTATGTCTCGACATAGATGCAAAATCGGTGACATTAACATCAGCAAATGCTGTGTCAAGTAAGACCAAATTTGCTTTGATTTCTTTAATGGTTAAAACCTTGGTCTTCCTAGTCTCCCTCTCTCTCTCTCTCTCTTTTTTTTTTTTTTGCTTTTTGGATCATACCCTGGCTGAAGCGATAGTACAGCGGGTAGGGCGTTTTGCCTTGCACACAGCCGACCCGGGCGACCTGGGTTTGATTCCTCCACCCCTCTCAGAGAGCCTGGCAAGCTACCCGTGACATATTCCATATGCCAAACACAGTAACAAGTCTCACAATGAAGATGTTACTGGGCCCGCTCAAGCAAATAGATGAACAACGGGAGGACAGTGCTACAGTGGGTCACACCCAGCGATGCTCAGGGGTTACTCCTGGCTCTGCACTCAGGAATTACTCTTGCCAGTACCTGGGGGACCATATGGGACACCGGGGATCAAACCTAGGTTGGTCGCGTGCAAGGCAAACACCCTACCTGCTGTACTATCACTTCGGCCCCTGGTCTTCCTAGTCTTGAATCTTAATTTAAGTTTTGTCAAGCAGGAATTCACTCAGGAAGAAATCTGGACTCTTTTCTCTCACTTAATTTTCCTGCATATTAATCCTTTGCTCTTGCATCTTTCATTTACATTCTCTTTAAGATAAAGCACGTGCACGTGTGTGTGTGTGTGTGTGTGTGTGTGTTAACTGTTTAGTTAACATATGAGACCGAATCATTTAGGGTGCTTCAAAGAATCAGATGTGTTAAATTGGATATTGCTCCAAGCAATTTCTACAGTGTTTGCTAACTTCTAAACCTGAGAGAATCAGAGTAAATGCTGTCAAACCTCTCTTTTAACACTAACATTCCATAAAACATATGGTTAATAGGCTGGGGCAATAACACAATGGGTAGGGTGTTTGCCTTGCACATGGCTGACCTGGGTTCAATCCTGAGCATCCCATATGGTCCCCCAAGCATCACCAGGAGTATTTCCTGGGTGTGGAAACAGGAGTAAGTCCTGAGCACCACATGGTGCCCAAAAGAAAAAAAAAAGTCATATATTTATATAAATCAAAAGAAAAGCAAAAATGGGGGCTGGAGCGATAGTACAGTGGGCAGGGCATTTGCCTTGCACGCAGCCGACCTGGGTTTGATCCCTGGCATCCCATATCGTCCCCCAAGCACCACCAGGAGTAATTCCTGATTGCAGAACCAGGAGCAACAACTGAGCATCACCAGGTATGCCCAAAAAGAAAAAAGAATAGAAAAAAGAAAAGAAAAATGAAGCGTTAACATTCATTGATCTATGATATTATTATGTGCCAAGTACTGTGTACAGCACTTTACAAAACCCAATGAATGAAATGCTGTACTTTACCTATCTTAATAAAATCAGTGCCTTTAAGACTTAATTACATAGGGAAGAGAGAAGGACTAAGAAAATCAAGAGTGTTCAGGCAGATTAAGATACGGGCCGAGAGGCTGGGGTAGTTCTCCAGCAGAGCATCTGCCTTGCATCCAAGAGGACTTAAGTCCAAATACTGGCACTGGGAGAAAAAAATAAAGCGGCTGCAGCGGCAGTTGGTCGAGCCAGGACTGAGACCTACACTACCTGCCTCCAGAGGCTCTACTCTGATATTTTAGGCCAGTTGGTCTCTTTTCAGAGGCTCCCAGAAAAATCCAGACGATAAAAGGCAGGGAAGCAAGAAAATACAGCCCATTTTCCCGATGGTCAAACAATGAGAAGAACTCAGTGAAGATTTGCTCAGGACAGGGTGATCCTGGGTCCCCGGCCTGGGGAATGTGGATGAGGGCTGCAGACAGGTAGAACAACTCAAGTTCTGTTAGTGATGGCAACGGGTCAAAGAGAGCCATGCCTAAGGAGTAACTTGAACAGGCCCAGACGGAAACAGGCCCTGCAGTCTGTGCAAATAAACAGGACTCACTGTGACTCAGCAAAAGCCACTCCGGGCTGTACTAAGCAGCCCACAGCCATGGCCAGTGGGCGGAGGAAGTAGAAATTCCAAGAGTGGAAACCACCTGGGACTCCAGCCCCAGAGATGATCCTGTTTTATGGGATAAAAGTAGCTGAGAGTAGACTTTAGACCCAACATGATTGCCACTCAATGCCTCTTTTGCAAACCACAGCACCCAAAAGGAGAGAGAGAACAGAGGGGAATGCCCTGCCACAGAGGCAGGGTGGGATGGGAGGGATGGGGGATGGGAGGGATACTGGGATCAGTGGTGGTGAAGAATGGGCACTGGTGGAGGGATGGGTATTCGATCATTGTATAACTGAAACCCAAGCACAAAAGTTTCTAAGTCTACAACTGTACCTCATGGTGTTTCATAATAAAAATCTAAAAAAACAAAACAAAACAAAACGTAGCATCCAGGGGCTGGAGCGATAGCACAGTGGGTAGGGCATTTGCCTTGCATGTGGTCAACCCAGGTTCAATTCCCAGCATCCCATATGGTCCCCCGAGCACCGCCAGGAGTAATTCCTGAGTGCATGAGCCAGGAGTAACCCCTGTGCATTTTTTGGGTATGACCCAAAAAAGCAAAAACAAACAAAAAGACAAACAAACAAAAAAGTAGCATCCAAAGGCCCAGTGTGAGCCAGAGGGAGCTGGGTCCGTGAAGCCATCTAAATGTGACATAGCCAGGAAGTGTGTTCAGGAAAGGAAAAGATAAAAGAGCGATGTTTTCTGAGCAACACAGGAAGGAGAGTCTATAGGATTATGGCAAGGGCCCGGGGAGTCAGCAGGTCCCAGGGAGGCTCCGGCGTGGGCTAATCTGAGGGACCCAAAACAGAAAGGGGGAAACACAGACGAATGAGTTTTCAAACATCTGTCTGATTGAAGTGTGTGTGTGTGTGTGTGTGAATGTGTGTGTGTGTGTGTGTGTGTGTGTGTGTGTTGGGGGGGCGAGGGGGATCATCAGGGTTTCAGGAACTCCGCATAATGAGGAGGTGACAGGAAGTGTGTGGAGCGTCACCACACAAGGAGGGACAAGAAAGAAAGGGGGAGGGGGAGGGAACCTCATATGAGAAAGGAAATCGAGGGCAATGGCCCAGGGGACCGGAGGGAGGCTGGGGGGAGATCAGACCCAGGCTCTGGCGAGAGAAGCAGAGCAGAAAAGAAGAATCTGGGGAAAGGGAGGAGGAGAAAGGAAAGGAGGGAGGATGAAGGACGGGGTCTGAGGGGAAAGAGAAGCATAGAGCGAAGAAGGTAGGAAAAGAAACGGCTTACCTGGAGCGTTCTAAATACTTGCAGCTCTGTGATAAAATGGGAAGCAGAAGTTCCGACTAAAACAAGGGATTAAGAGAGGAAGGGAGGAGGGGGAGAAGCAGAATGCCAGGATTGAGGGGCACTGAAGAATAACTAGAAAAGGATCCCGAAATGGAAGAAGTGGGGGCCGGGGTGATAGCACAGCGGGTAGGGTATTTGCCTTGCACATGGCCGACCCGGGTTCAATCCCCAGTATCCCGTATGGTCCCCCAAGCACTGCCAGGAGTAATTCCTGAGTGCAGAGCCAGGAGTGATCCCTGAGCATCGCTGGGTGTGATCCAGAGAGCAAAAAAAAAAGAAAGAAAGAAAGAAAAAAAGAAAAGAAATGCAAGAGGTGCTAGAGAGATAATATAATGGGTAAGGCACTTGGATTGTATGCGGCCAACCAGAGCTCCGTTCCTGGCACCCCATGTGGTCCCTCCATATGAGATCAGTCTTGATCAGGAGTGATCCTTAAGCACAAAACCAGGAGTGAGACCTGAGCACCGCTGGGTGTAGCACCACAAACCACACTCCCCACCAAAAAATAATAAATAGAACAGAAAAAGAAATGGAGAGAGAGCACTTGATGAGCTGAGAACAGGCTTTGCATGCAAAAGGTCAGGGTTGAATCCCCAGCGCCACATGGTCCCCAAGCAGAGAGCCAGAAATAACATTTAGACTATGCCAGGTACGGCCTCAAATCCAAACAAAAACAAAAAGAAATTAAAAAGAGAAAGAAATGGAGAAACATATGCAACATACATGTAGAGGTCATTCAGTACCAATTTCCTCCTTTCATATGGAATATATCAATTTCCCCCTTCTATATAGTAGACATTTTTATTCCCAGCGATGCTCAGGGGTTACTCCTGGCTCTGTACTCAGGAGTCACCCCTGGCGATGCTGGGAATGGAATGTTGGGAATCGAACCCGGGTTGGCTGCATGCAAGGCAAACACCCTACCCGCTGTGCTATCACTCCAGCCCCTAGACATTTTTATTTTGTGGATGTGTTCACACGTTTGTATAGAACTATACTGTTAGAGACATAAGTATTATATAGATAAATTCTAAAATGAATATATAAATGCATATAAAAGTTCAAGTTACAGTGATGTAACTAATTTCTAACCAGTGCAGAAACACTGCAAACCCTGCTATGTGAATGCACCATCAGACCCGTCACAGAGCGAGGCCGAATGTTCTGAGAGATCGCATCCCCCCTTCGACGAGAACCCCAAAGTCTTAATTAAGTCAGCACTTAACACATGCCAACTCTCCTACAAGATATTATGACTGGGAGAAAGAGAGTGACTGATGATAGAGAGGGCTCAATTTCACTTCTCTCTCTAACTATAATCCTGGTGAGATTTCATGAGTTTGACCCTGACTTTGAGATAACCAAGTCCCCGTCTCCTCGTTCTAAGGGTTTGGGTTGAAAGCAATGTCTGGACTTACCTGGAAATACGCCGACATGAAAGTGTTATCCACGACCATGATGACATCTTTGTGCTTGTGGATGGTCTGCGCGCAGGCTTTGATGTCGATCAGCTTCAAGCTAGGGTTGGTGGGGGTTTCGATCCAAACGAGCTAAAGCAATTCAGGAAATGACACAAGTTGATGAGAAGGCTCTGCATCAGAGCCAGATGCCCCGACATAGTCACATGAAGTGACAAGGACAGAGCACGAAGGATGAAGGTGGAGGGTTATTCAAATCTGAACCTCACCCCACCTCCATTTCTGCCATGTCCCAGCTAAGGGACTGACCTCGCTAGTCCTCAAACTCACCATCTGTTCCATGGGGGTCAGTAATATTTACCTTTTAGTATTCTTATAAGGATCAATAGGCCAAGAATGCATGTGTAAGCAAAAAAGAAAAAAACAAAGCACTAAAGTTAACTATTGGAATGATTTTTTTCATTAAAAAAAAAATGATGCATTCAAGAAAGAGAGTTCCATAACTGGGAACTTTATTCTCAAAAAAAAAAAAAAAAGAAAAATAGATGGTCTAAGGTTATAGCTTAGAATTATTATTAATGTGGACTATCCCTATGAGCTAAAAATTACTTGTGAATATTTATTTAAACAAGGCTAAATGTTGGGGCTGGAGCAATAGCACAGTGGGTAGGGCGTTTGCCTTACACTCGGCCGACCCAGGTTCGATTCCCAGCATCCCATATGGTCCCCCGAGCACTGCCAGGAGTGATTCCTGAGTGCATGAACCAGGAGTAACTCCTGTGCATCGCCGGGTGTGACCCCCCAAAAAAAGCAAAAAAAACACAAAAAACAAAAAACAAACAAGGCTAAATGCACTTTTTTACACTGCTTATACTGGAGGAAAGTGTAGAATAACACTGGGTTGTCCTTTCTCCCCTGCCACAAGGAGTCTAGGTTTACTGGGTTACACCCATCACAGTGCTCCCAAGGCACTCCCATTCCTCCGTGCTTATCTTTAACCTCTTCTCTGTGCTCTGCTTTCCCTATCGGTTAATCACCTTTATCCCCAAATCAGATCCTGTCCCTTGAAAGGTCAGATCCTTCTAAGGACTCTGAATTTTGTATTTGTAAGTGAAATATTGCTTTTCTCCTTCCCTTATGTCCTTTACATAGTTTACTTTAGAGCAATGTCCTTTTTTGAATAGACACAAGTTAATGTTACACTTTTGTAACTTGGGAGTTAATTGACTGAGTTATATTTATTCCTGGGCATCTGTTTCTTCGACTTAAGCCTCAGTTGCCCTTAGTTCCTAGCTCCCCAAAAGCATGGTCCTGAAGAAGGGACTGGAAAGACCCAGGGCAAGCTGTAAGCTACCCTGCCATAGAAACGGGACAGGCCAAGCACCATAATACTTAACTGTAAGTTAAGAACACAATTATGGACCAATTCTGTCATGATCCAGAAAAACAACTGAATAAGGACCCTTCTGAGGTTAGGAAGCACTAATCTGGTCTGAGCACTGTAGTCTGGGACCTGTAGCGAGATGTCCCCAGGAGAGCCATCCTATAAGCTTAATGTATCTCTTACTGTGTTCAAACAACATGACCAATGTTATTAAGAAGTAGAATTAGGTTGAATGTTTCAATGGTTATTGGACTAAGGAAAGGAGAAACACACCCCTAGATTGTATTTCGCCCTTAGGTGGATCACCTTGCTGGAGAGAATCTGTCTTAGAAAAAGCTTCCCTGAGGGAAGGACTTTACATCTGTTGATTATATAACCACACCTCTGCGTAATTACTACCCCAACCCCTCATGATTTGCTCTATAACTAAGGCCGTAAGAGTGGGCGGGGGAATCTGGGAGTGGGTGAGACTGGAGAAGGAGACGAGATTGGAATAAAGTACAAGTGATCACCAACCAGCCTGGACCCTGTTTCCTTCTTCATCTGCCCATTGTCATCGCCCGCCAGGGGTGAGGGAAGCGGCCCCAGACCACCAAATGCAGGTGGTGAAAGAGCGCCACAGCTCTTAATTATTTATTTATTGAATACACAAGGTGTGTAATCTCCAGGTAGTTGAGGGGCCCCGGCAGCTCTCCCGTTCGCTGCCTGTGTTGGGGGGGGCCTCGGGCCGCTAGCCCAACAGGGGAGGCCCATGCCATGGGGCAGAACGAGGGCCGAGCCGTTTGGTTGACGAGTTTCTCCCCATGCGCCTACCCCAGTCTCTCTGAGCCTCCCATTCTAGTCTCACACTGCCTCCTCCTCCTGTCTCTCCCGCTCATTTCTCCGTGCTCCATCTCGCAGCCTGGGTTCTCTCTCTCTCCACGCACTGTATTCTGCTCCTGTATTCTTTTTTTTTTTTATTTTTTATTTTTGGCTTTTTGGGTCCCACCTGGTGATGCACAGGGGTTACTCCTGGCTCTGCACTCAGGAATTACCCCTGGCGGTGCTCAGGGGACCATATGGGATGCTGGGAATCGAACCCGGGTCGGCCGCGTGCAAGGCAAACGCCCTACCCGCTGTGCTATTGCTCCAGCCCCATCTGCTCCTGTATTCTTCTACATCATTCTTCCTCTGTGCCCCTTGCTAGTCTCTCCACGCTCCATCTTACTGCCCTGCTCTCTCTCATGTCTCCAATTCTCATTCTCCAACTTCAGCACTCTGGGCCAGTCCGCACCCAGTCCGGTAGCAAAATCAGCATAACAAAGCCCTTCCTGATGGCCCATCAGGCTCAAAGGCTGAAATACCACCTAGGGGTGTTCCTCTTCTCCTTAGTCCAATAACTTAATCAACATCTCAATTAACATCTTAATTCTCCTTAAGATTAGTATTTCTGTATGGGCACAAAAAGAGATACATTGAAACTTGTGAGGCACCTCTCCAGGGAACATCTTGCCCCAGACTCAGGCTTCAGTGCTCAGGCCAGATTAATCATTCCCAATCCTAGCAGGGTCTGAATCTAGTTATTACTTTTTGGATCATGACAGAATTTGTCCATGACCATGCTCTTAACTTATGGTTAAGCATTGTAGCACTTTGGCCAGGCCCATTTTGATGCCAGGGTAGCACATAGCTCTCCGCTTGCCCTGGGTCCATCCAGTCCCTCATCGGTACCCTGCTTTTGGGGTGCTAGGAAGTAAGGACAACTGAGGCTTAAGTCGAGAGAACAGATGCCCAGGAAGTAAATATCACTGAGAGTCAATTAACTCCCACATTACAAAAGCATAGCATTAACTGTCTTCCAGTACCCATACAAAAATGACATGGCTCTGAATTAACTATGCAAAGGACTTAAGGAAAAGAGAAAAACAATATTTACAAGTCAACAGAGCACAAAGAAAGAAGTTACAAATAAACACAAAGGAGTGGGAGCACTGTGATGGGAGTAACCCAATAAACCTAAGCTCCCTGCAGCAAGGAAGAAACGAAAAACCAATGTTATCCTACACAGGGAAGGTCAGTGAAGTGCAGAAGAGACACACGCAGCAGACAGCCCAGCTGCAGATCAAGTGTGAAAAAAACTGCTGCGAATGTTGCTGCATTTGGGGGTCCAGAGTGACAGTATGGTGGGTCAGGGCATTTGCCGGCATGCAACTGATCTGAGTTTGATCTCCAGCATCCCATATCGTTGGTCCCCAGGGCCCACCAAGATGATCCCTGAGTCAGTAGTAAGCCCTGAGAATAGTACCCCATTCCCGCACCCCCTCACCCTGCAAAAAGCAACTGTACTGTATTTTCCAAAGCCCATCACAATTCAGGTACATAACTGATGCTGAAACTGCTTTCTTTTTTAAAAAAACTAACGATGGGGCTGGAGAGACAGTACAAGTTAAGGTCCTTGCCTTGCAGCCAGACAACCCAGCCTTTTTGATCCTGGCATGGCACTTACGGGGGGGCACAGAGCGAGGAACCACCCCTGAGCACTGTCAGATATGGCACCAGCACCCCCTCTCCCACACCAACTCCCCCATAAATGCCTTCCAGGAGCATGCCTCTTTACCTACATAAACCATCCAGAGACATGGTTGAACATTCTTCCTACTCTAGAATTGTATTTGAGGGGCTGGAATGATAGTACAGCGGATAGGGTGTTTACCTTGCATGCAACCGACCCAGGTTCAATCCCCAGCATCCTATATGGCCCCCTGAGCATCCCCAGGAGTAACTCTTGAGTGCAGAGCCAGGAGTAACCTCTGAGCATTGCAGGGTGTGACTCAAAAGAAAAAAAAATTGATTTGATTTGATTTGATTGGTGCGGAAAGAAGCAGGGAGTAAATACAGAAGGCAGCAGTGCTCAGGGTTTACTTCTGGCAGAGCTCAGGGGACGTTACGTGATGCCAGATACTGAACCCAGGTTGACCACATGCAAGGCAAAAACCTTAGCCACTGCATTACGCAGGTTCAAGAATCCAATTATTGGGCCAGAGCAATAGTACGGCAGGGAGAGCATTTGCCCTGCATGTGGTCAGCCCAGGTTCGGTCCATGGCACCCCATATGGTCCTCCGAGCACCGCCAGGAATGGTAATTCCTAAGTATAGAGTCAGGAGTGGAGTAACTCCTGAGCATCGCAGGGTGCGACACAAAAAGCAAAAAAAAAAAAATCAAATTATCTAAGAATCCATGCAAAAATTATTTCTGAGAAAGAAAGTGCTATTCCTGATGAAAAAAAATACATTAAAATAAAAAAGTACAAATAAAGGGTCATGGATTATGTCACTCAGTGGTAGAGCACATGCCTTGCATGTATTAGGTTCTGGGTTCAAGCCTAGAACTTAAAGAAAAAAATAGGGTGGAAATAAATAGAATGTAGAGCAACTGGAAGACTAGTTCAGGGATTTCAGGGGTTCAGACACTTGCCTTCCACAAAACTGACCCTGGCTCAATCCCCAAAACCACAAGTAACCCCCAATCATTGCTGAGCACTGTTGGGTTTGGCCACCCTTCAAAAAAAGTATGTTTCATAGGGACTAAAAAAATATACTTCAGAGGCTGAAGAAGCAATATAATGGGTAACAGCTAATCCAGGTTTAATGCCTGGCACCATATATAATCCCCCAAATCCCCGTCAGGGATGACCCTTGAGTTCAGAGCCAGAAAAAAGCCCTGAGCACTGCTGGATGTGACACAAAAATCAATTGCTTAAAAATATGCTTCGGGGCTGGAGAGATAGCACAGCGGGTAGGGCGTTTGCCTTGCATGCGGCCGACCCGGGTTTGATTCCCGGCATCCCATATGGTCCCCTGAGCACCGCCAGGAATAACTCCTGAATGCAGAGCCAGGAGTAACCCCTGTGCATCGCCAGGGGTGACCCAAAAAGAAAACATATATATATATGCTTCATGGATGAGGGTGATAGTTCAAAGGGCGACCCTCGCACACACAAGGCCCCGAGTTGGATTCCCGGCAATACATACCCCTCCCCACCTCACCTACCCCACTGGATCCAAACTCTAACACTAACCCTAACCCTGAATCTAAACATTAAAACTCCTGACCAGGTTGGTCATGTATGGCTGGAAATGGCCCTATAGACCCCTGAGCCTACTGTAAGTTCCCTTGCAAAGAATCTAATTCAAATAAAAAGGCAGACAATTCAAGGAGGAAAAGTATATTAATTCAAGTCAATAAAGAATATAAAGTTCTGTCAATAAAAAAATTAATCTACTCAGAATGTGCTGCCTTCTTTGTAAGGGTCTATCTCACACTGATTCAATTAAAAAAAAAAAGTAAAATAAATTACTTTTTAAAAAAATGTGCAATGTGCTGCCTTTCCATAGACTGAACCAGCTATTTTTGTACCTTTTCTCCCAAGTAAAATAAAAACTAAACACTACTGGAAATAAATCTTAATCACACAAAGTTCACTGCTGTGCTTATCTTCAAAGTAATTACTGGTATGAAAAAAGGTTTTCCTGTTTTAGCATTCACTTAGAATAATTGTAAGTACAATTCAGACCTTTTAATGATTAGCAAAAGTTAGAAAAGGCTCACATTGGTCCTTCTCCTACCCAGGCAGAATTTAAATGAGGTTACAAGAAAGAATATCATGTATGCCATTCACCCTGGCACAAAACACCTTCCGGGGGCATGTGAGCTGCCTAGGACGGAGACGGAAGACTGACTGTTAACTATTATTTTGCTGTTAACTATTATTTTGCTGAAGCATCCCCCCCAAAAGCTCTTAAAATTCAGCCTCTGTGCATGGGGCTAAGAAGCCAGGCCAGCTTACTTTTCTGTAAATCTGTGATATATCTCAGTGATAAGTTCCATTATCACAAGAAGTCTGGTAATGCATTTAAAAATTGTGAGCTTTGGGGCTGGAGCGATAGCACAGTGGGTAGGGCGGTTGCCTTGCACGCAGCCAACATGACCGACACAGGTTCAATTCCCAGCACCCCGTATGGTCCCCTGAGCACCACCAGGAGCAATTCCTGAGTGCATGAGCCAGGAAGAACCCCTGAGCATCGCTGGGTGTGACCCAAAAAGCAAAAAAAAAAAAAAATTGTGAGCTTTTGTTAAGAACATATCCTTTAAAAAAAATATTATGCATTGGGTATAGTAATAAGTATTTCGTATGCCTTATTTCACTCATACAACCCCTTTCTAAAACAAAAAAATAAGCGCAATTATCCCTGATTTACAAACTAGGAGACTGAGATTTAGGTTAAATCGGTGTCCAAGAGAATATACCAGCACTATGGTACAGAATTAGAATTTGAATACCTCTCCAGAATTCAGTTCCTTACCACTGTGTGATAACACCTACCTTAAACTTGGTGATTTAGAATGACTTCTAATAATAAAAATTTGTTAATCAGATTGCGCGTGCACGTGTGTGTGTGTGTGTGTGTGTATGTGTGTGTGTGTGTGTGTGTGTGTATGTGCGCGCGCAATGCACTCAAGGATCACTACTGGCAGGAGGACAATTTGCAATGCCAGGGGTCAAACCTGGATACTACAGTTCCTTACTTCCTTACTACTTCTGTCCCCTGTTAATCAGATTTAAATTATGTCCTATACGAAAGAGAAATGAGAAAAAAATATGAAAGCTGAAAGCTGAAAACTGAGTTACCTTGGTTTGTGGAGTAATGGCTTCCTCTAGCAATTTGATTTTGGAACAGTCAACAAAAGAAATCTTTAATCCAAATTCACTTGCCACTCTTCTGAAATACCTGTTGGTACCTGATGCAGAAGTGAATTTGGGGAGTTGGGGGAGAAGGAAGAAAGGGCATTGTATTAAAATGTCTTCATTCTTTGCAGGTATAAGTACTTACGAAATATGAAAAAATGCCAGTCACCAATAAAGATACAAATAAAAAGGAACTTTAATTTGGTTTAATAGTTTGGTGGTCTTATGCAGTAAAGACTGTAAGTCTTGAATTTTAAATGAAAGATAAAGAGGCAACTTAAAAAACACACCAGGTGGCATGAAGCAGAAAATGGTTTTCAGAGCACAATCTTTGCTCTTCAAATATGAAGTAAAATATTTTCTAAATGTCAGCATTTTTTAAAAGAATTTCTTCTTAGCTCTCAAATCTCAAATGAGTGTTGAAAGCACATTTTCAATCTTATTATACTTTGATTATAAGAAGTATATAAAGGTCTTTTCTTCATCTTTTTGTTTCATGGTTCTAATTTTTAACAGGTAAGACAACAAAAATCCAAGGACTAAGCGAGATTAAAAACTAAATCATGCTTGTATTTTATACGCTATTAAAAAATTCAGCAGTAACTGGAAAAAAATTCCAAGGACTAAAAAGTCTTATTATGAGTCATTTACTTTAAAATGATTTCTTTTATAAACAATGGCCTGGATTAGATGTTTATATATGCAAACTTAAAGGGAAAATAGTTGTTATGGATTATGATCACCCCATTGCCCCCCCCACCAAAAAAAAAACACATAAAGTAAAATATCATCAAAGATTTACTGAGCTTTGAGGCTGGAGTGATAGTACAGTGGCATGGCATTTGCCTTGCAGACAGCTGACCCAGGTTCGATCCCCAGCATCCCATATAATCAGTCCCTTATGCACCGCCAAGGGACTATATTCCTGAGTGCAGAGCCAGGAATAAGCCTGAGAATTGTCCGGTGTGACTCAAAAAGCCAATAAATAAATAAATAAATAAATAAATAGATAAATATTTACTGAGCTTTTGGTACTATGTCTACAAACTCCGGGTAATATAAGATAGACAAAAAGGGGCAAGAGAGAGATTGCGTTGTGCACAGTTCCATCCCCCTGGCCCAAAGAAGTCACATTTTGAGGCGGGAGGTTATTGTTTCTGACACAAAAATAAGTTCTATAGGGCTGAGGAAATAGCTCAAGGGGCTAAGGATGTACTGTGCGTGTGGGCAATTTGGTTAGGATAGCCAGTACTGCATGGTCTCCTGAGCACCACCAGGAGCAACCCCATATATATTTGGCCCTTTCCTAAAATCAGTCCTGCATAGAAGCCAGGGGATGTGGTCCAGTGGGAGAGCATGTGCCTTGTATATGTGTAAGATCATGGATCTAATCAAGAGGAAGAGGAGCGGGGGGTGGGGGGTGGTGGCTGGAGTGATAGCACAGCGGTTAGGGCGTTTGCCTTTCATGCAGCCGACCCAGGTTCGATTCCCAGCATCCCATGTGGTCCCAAGAGCACCGCCAGGAGTAATTCCTGAGTGCATGAGCCAGGAGTAACCCCTGTGCATTGCTGGGTGTGACTCAAAAGGCAAAAAAAAAAAAAAAAAGAGAGGAGGAGAGGAGGGAGGGATGGAAGGAAGAGAGGAAGGAAGAGAGGAAGGAAGGAAGGAAGGAAGGAAGGAAGGAAGGAAGGAAGGAAGGAAGGAAGGAAGGAAGAAGGAAGGAAGGGAGAGAGGAAGGGAGGGAGGGAGGAAGGAAGTTTGATTGGAGTTCAATCCCAGTACTGCAGTACTGCCTGGTCCCTTGAGCACTGAGTAGCCCCTGAGCCCCAGTGGGGGAGGGTGGCCCCTCCCCCCCAACAAAAAAGAAAATCTATCCATGCATAAAGGTAAGAGCAACTTGTCTTTTTCACTTTCCCAGGCATCATTTTATTTCTTTCGGTGGGGGTCTGTACCTGACAATGTTCAGGGGTTACTCTTGGCTCTGCACTCAGGAATCACTCCTGGCGGTGCTCAGTGGACCGTATGGGATACTGGGGGATCGAACCCAGGTCAGCCATGTGCAAGGCAATGGCCCTATCTGCTGAGCTATCTCTCCGGCCTCCCAGTCCCCATTCTTTTTTTTTTTTAATTTTTTTATTAGTGAAACACCATGAGGTACAGTTATAGACTTATAAATTTTTGTGCTTGGGTTTCAGTTATATAATCAGTCCCCATTCTTAAATCACTGGCATTTAAACTCTTTCTAATGGATGGACCTTCTAGATTTTGGATCCACGGATAGGCTTCGAGGGGAGAGGCCCTATCACCCTTAACTGGAACGATACAGGCTTGGTGTGGCATGAGTGCATTTCTGGTAAGCTAGGGCCAGAACTTTCAACAGATTTTCACAAGGTTTTCTCAAACCTAAAAGAGAAGGTGGTCAGACCAGGGCAGGTTTGCCCGTGGAGAGACCCAGGACGTCTTCACTGCAGGTGGAAACTGTAATTGAGAATAGAACACAATCTCTTCAACCCTCTATTTCCTGCAGTAGACATGACTGAAAGGTGATGGAATCCTATCCCCTCATTCCTGCAGCTTAAAAAATTGCTTTTAAATCATTTCTCATATAACCTGTTCTAAAGTAGTAACGGTCTCAAAATATTCTTGCTCCCCCAGGCCAAGTCTGAACCCACCTGGAGGTGCCCTTCACACCTTTAAAAGATAGCAAATAATCCTTGGGATATCATTCATGTACTCTAAGACTCACTGTAGTATCTTTCACAGATGATCCTAGCCAGAAGGTTGAGAAGTGATATATGGGTAAGCTTTTAAAACCCAGCTCTCACAACATGAATGGGAGAAGTTACCTACCTCCATACACGTCATCCATACAAATAATTTCGTCCCCAGCTTTTAAGAGGTGAGTAATGGTCATAGTGGCTGCTAAACCCGAAGCAAAGGCCAAACCTAAAATTACAAAAGAAATCACAATAAGGTAAAATGTAGAGCAAACATGTTAAAAGAAAACTATATTTCCTGGCACTATTCTAGTCTCTAAACATTCATTGATAAAAGGGCTCATAACATCCCCTTTTCTAATTCAAAGATAAGACAGCTTGACAATATAGTATCGATGATTCTGCTTGGGCCTTAACATTTCTCTGAAAAAATTCAATGAAATAAATTTTTACAAAAGTCTGAGATAAAAGGCTCAGACCAATTGAATAACAGTTTCAAAATATCATTTGCTCAAGCGGGTCCAGTAACGTCTCCATTGTGAGACTTCTTGTTACTGTGTTTGGCATATTGAATACGCTCGGTAGCTTGCCAGGCTCTCTGAGAGGGGCAGAGGAATCGAACCCGGCTCGGCCGGGCTGGCTGGGTGCAAGGCAAATGCCCCACTGCTGTGCTATCACCCCAAAATTTCAAACTTGAAGAATAGAACAAAGATATGAGTCACTAGATGAATACACTATTGAGCAAACTGTTTAACAAAACTCAAAATCAGACCTTAGCAGTATTGATAAAGCCTACTAATTTTTTTTTTAATTTGGAATTTCATAATTTCAGTTCTGCTTTGGGGCAGGGGTTGGGGTTCAGGACAGAAACATCCAAAATATGGTGGCGGGAAGGTGCAATGGTGGTAGAACTGGTGTTCGAATATTAAATGTAATCAAATAATGTGAACTACTTTATAAAATAAAAAAATTTAAAACACAAAAAACTCAAATTTTTTTTTTAAGCTTTTTGGGTCACACCCGGCAATGCTCAGGGGTTACTCCCGGCTTTGCACTCAGGAATCACTCCTGGCGGTGCTCAGAGGACTATATGGGATACTGGGAATCGAACCTGGGTCAGCCGCGTGCAAGGCAAACGTCCCACCCACTGTACTATATAGTCCAGCCCCTAAAATTTAAAAAAATAAATAAATTTAGAATCTCTTCAAATAACTAATGCGATTCTGATGTCACTTTAAAAAAATGTAAAGAAAGTAAATTTTTAAAAATGGCATTGTTGGGGCTGGAGAGATAGCACAGCGGGTAGGGCGTTTGCCTTGCACACAGCCGACCTGAGTTCGATTCCCAGCATCCCATATGGTCCCCTGAGCACCGCCAGGAGTTAACTACTGAGTGCAGAGCCAGGAGGAACCCCTGTGCATCGCCAGGTGTGACCCAAAAAAGCAATAAATAAATAAATAAATAAATAAATAAATAATGGCATTGTATACACAAACAAGGAAAAGAAAATATCCTCAATAAAAGAGTTGATACACCACTGGAGGGCAAAAATCACTTGTGAATTGTGGAAAGGCTAATGAAATTAACTTGGAAAAATAGTTACTGCAAAATCTTCTCAGGAAAGTTTAGTTCAAGATTACAGGTTCTGCTCTGCTGATCGGTGATCCAACAAGGAATTCATACGGGTTAAAATTGAAACCCAGTGGAAAACTACAATTTTCTGGCACTCACTTAAAACAAGAATTTAGATTATGAAGTGGTCAGCATTCTACCTCCTTACATCCAGCAGGACATAGTGTTACTCACAGAGTACCTAATTTCAGAAGTTTGGGGTTTTTTTTTTTTTTCCTTTCAAAACAAACAGATGCCAAGGGCTGAAGAGATAGTGCAAAGGTTAAGGCCCTTGCCTTGCACACATATGGTTCCCTAAGTACTGCCAGAAGCAAATACGGAGCACAGAGCCCGGAGTAACTTCTGATGTGGTGTTAAAACTAGATTTTAGTCCATGGCTTGGAGGCCAGCCACACATTGCTAGGAGAAAAGGGAGCTCAGATAGAGAAGGGAGCACCAAATAAAGGGTGTTGGGAGGATCTCCCAGGATGGGAGAAGCATGCTGAAAGGAGACTATAGACCAAACATGATTGCCACCCATTGCCTCTTTTGCAAACCACAACACCCAATAGGAGAGAGAGAGAACAAAAGGGAATGCCCTGCTACAGAGGCAGGGTGGGATGGGGGGATGGGGGGTGGGAGGGATATTGGGATCCGTGGTGGTTGGAAATGGGCACTGGTGGAGGGATGGATATTTGATCATTGTATACTTGAAACCCAAGCACAAAAATTTGTAAGTCTACAACTGTATCTCATGGTGTTCTCACTAATAAAAATAAAAAATAAATTAATTAATTAAATTACTGTGTCTGGCAAAAAAAAAAACTAGATGTGGTACTAAAAAAACAAACACAAACAAATCCCACATCCCAAGAAAAGTCCAAATCACAGTATTTTTAACTACTGTTCTTCCAGTCAGATAACTGCGATGGCCCTATTTTCTATTCACTGTTCTGTCTTCATTTAGTAGCTTTTATATAAATAATATTAAGATGATTTTTTTTTCTTTTTGGGTCACACCCAGCAATGCTCAGGGGTCACTCCTGGCTCTGCACTCAGGAATTACTCCTGGCGGTGCTGGGGGACCATATGGGATGCTGGGAATTGAACTTGGGTTGGTTGTGTGCAAGGCAAATGCCCTACCCGCTGTGCTATCGCTCCAGCCCCACAAAGATTTTAGGAGATGGGCAAACCAAATTTAATGAGACAGACAAGAATGGTATCCTCAAACATAAAAGGCAAAACTGATTTAAAAGCGATCTACACGCTTTATGGAAAAAGCACAAAATCGAGGAGTTAATCCCTAATCTCTGAGAACATACTTCAAGGGCACCTGCATATTTACAAGTGTACCTCTGCACTATTCTGGGGCCTGAATTATCAGTAAATGAGCCAGAGTATCCCAAGCTTGCACTGTCATGGAGAGTGTTATAAAACTCAGTTAATTTTTATCTATTTATCTGAAAGCTTCAACAGAAGTGCCAAACGGCAAGAGTTCTAAACGGCAAATCCTGTCATTCTGTCTCAACTCATGCATCATTTTACCCAATAATTAGAAAGATGCTTACTCTACCAGTTGTGAAACTTAAGGTCCAATAATTTAATACCTTAGCAACCAAGTAAGTTCCTATTTCTTTTTTTTTTGGAGGTGGGGGGGCACACCTGGTGTTGCTCAGGGGTTATTTCTGGCTTTGCACTCTGCGATCACTCCTGGTGGTCTTGGGGGACCACTATAGGGTGTCGGGTATAGAACAGAGGTGATTCGTGTGGAAGGCAAGTGCCTTACCCACTGTACTATCTCTCTGGTCCAGTTCTTATTTCTTTTTTTTTAATTAAATTAAATTAAATTTTTTTTACAAAGCTGTTCATGATTGGATTTCAGTCATACACACCCATCCCTCCACCAGTGCACATTTCCCAGCAACACTGTCCCCCCAGGTCCCAGTTCTTATATATAAGAGACAGGGGCTGGAGTGATAGCACGGAGGGTAGGGCATTTGCCTTGCACGCAGCCAACCCGGGTTCGATTCCCAGCATCCCATGTGGTCCTCCAAGCACTGCCAGGAGTAATTCCTGAGTGCATGAGCCAGGAGTAACCCCTGTGCATTGCCAGGTGTGACCCAAAAAGGGGGGGAAAATAAAAGGAGAAACAGCTAGCTCTTATTTTGTCCAAACCTCCATCCTGGGATCGTCAGACTTTCTGCATCCAGACAGGAATAGATTCCAGACAGACCTAAGTTTCAGAAACGAAATCACTCACAGTGCTTGGCTCCATCAAGTGCCGCTACCGCTTTTTCCAAGCAGTTCCTGGTAGGGTTTCCAGACCGGCTGTATTCAAAACCCTGGAGGGCAGAAGTGCAAAGTTAAACTCTACCAGAGTACTAGCAGAGACCTTGAAACAACTCAAGCATGGGGCCATCCAGACTTCCTACTACTTACTACAGTTAAGCCTATGTTTGGAAGTTAACTTAGGTTTTGTTAACATAGGATTTGGTTTGCAGGCCTACAGGTAAAGTTTTTTTTTTAATTATTATTATTATTTTTTAAATTTTATTTATTCATTTTTTGCTTTTGGGGTCACACCCAGCGATGCTCAGGGGTTTCTCCTGGCTCTGCACTCAGGAATTACTCCTGGCAGTGCTTGGGGGACCATATGGGATGTTGGCGATGTGTAAGGCAAGCGCCCTACCCACTGGACTATCTCTCTGGCCTCCTAGAGATAAAGTTCTTAACCTTCTCCATGGGGCCATCTCAAAATCTCTACAAGTGATTCGCAACTAAAGCGAAGCTGCGTAATACACAAGACTGTTGTGAAAAGAAACAAAGAGATCATCTGGAAGACATTCTTTGCATGAGCCACATTGAAAGCCCTAGAAAAATGACTGTTTTCCTCCTGGTCATAGAATCATGTCGGGTTCCCCTTGGTCCATCGTCTGGGATGATGAGGGAAAGGGTCCGGCCTGAGCTGACAGAATAAACCAAACCACACACTTGATTTCCTAATAAGTGATGCAAGTGCCACTGAGCATCCAATAGGAAGCAAGGAGCAGAGTCTACACACGCACAAAATCCGGACCTGGGCTTACAAAAGAGATGAAATAAAACAGGGAGTAATTCCTGGCCAAGCAGCTCCACACGACTTTTTATTATTATTACCATTATTATTATTGGCACTATGTTCCCTTCATCCACTGCACGCCGGCACTGTGGTGACTGCACACATCCTATCCTCTGATGTAATCCTCACGGTCTGTTTTCAGCCCAACATGTCAAAGCCGGCATTCAAATCCAGGATTTAAATATTGACTTACAAGCCTATAATCTTCTTCCCCTCCCATACTGCACATAAAAGCACTCCGCCACTCCGTTTCACATTCTGTTTCTGATTCAGGAGTTCCAAATATTAGTAACACATTTTAAGCTGCATTGCTCTGCTTGTTTCCTTGTTTTTGACGACCTAAAGAAGCACATTTTATAGGAACCAGGATATCCTCATCCGAGTGTAGCCCTACTCCCCAGACAGAAGATGCTGTTTGGACTCATATGGCCACTCTCCCAGCATGGTACCCCACGTTCCTGGAAATATTCCCTGCCCATCTTAACCTTGGTGTGTGCTGGGGTGAGGGAGTATGTTTCAGTGACAAACTGTCAGAGCTTCCTGGCCTCCTGCCAATTGGTTTCCCAGGTAGATTTGACAACTCTATATCTGTCGTTCAACTCGTCTAATTCTCTTGAGTGACTTTGCGAATTTCGTCGTGCTGCGGACTGAAGGTAGGGCGTTAAGCATGCAGGGCACATTACAATACCGCTGAGCCACATCCCCTGTTCCCATTGAAATGCAGTTCATGTTTTCAAGAAGTTTGTGGAATTGACCATCTCTGCGGTTTTCAGAAAACATTTAATTATTAATATCATAGCTAAATCGTTAACTTTCGTACCACATTCTAAAGCTTGGGCAACCACACATTGACAAAACCCTAGGGCAAGAACAAACTGCAGACTTAGAGACTGTGAACTCATCCTTGTTCCAAGATGCAACAGCTAGACGTATCCAAAATGAGTTGTCAAAACGCCCCGAGAACTAACTCGGTCTCATCAGATCGGGGCAAAAGGCCTTTTCCTTGTCTTAGAAAACAAAAACACGTCATAGAGATTAGGGAAGCATCCTCGACATCTGGAAACTACAAAGTTTGTTTAACCAATTTATTTCTGAGTCTCCACAACTTTTCAAACACTTCTTCAAGATCTATTAAGCTTGTTTCCAAAAGGGAAAAAGCTATGATTAACAAAGAAGGTGGCAGGTCATTTATGATTCTGGGTAAACTCCTTTTCCATAAAAAAAAAGGATATAAAACCTGCCCTATTCTCTGACCTCATTGCTGTAAGGATCAAATGAGAAAATGAGCAAATGTGGACATCACAAACCACCAAACTACCAAGCAATTATAATGTGCCAGACAGCCTAACACACATGTCAGCAATTTATGTAGCAGGTACTATTATTAACCACATTTATACAGGATCAACCAGAGTTTTGGAGAGACTAAGCAATTTCACTCAAGGTCACCCAGATCAGAGCAGGTGGTGTCAGAATTCAGACTCAGGTCCTCTGAACAGGTGATCTATGCTCTTAATCACTAAGCCCCACAAAACCATCACTGAATGATGCAATGGACTGGCAGATTGCTAGCATGGTTGGGGATGCCTGGACCAGGGGAGCTTAGAAGAGCTCTGGGACAGGATCTGAATTCCAAGCTGCAAAACTTACTAGTCATGAAGTCTTAGGAACTCTGAATCTCCATTTTTCCAGGAGAAACCTGTAAATCTAGTGATATAATACACCTAAGTATGTACGTAGCAGACAATAAGCTCTTAATAGCTGAATATAGCTTTGGAAAAAAAATCTTGATTCCAAGAAGCCACTTACTTTTGATTTTTTAAAGCGCCTTATATATTTATAATTTCTGTCACTAAGAGTAATTCCAGGAAGTTATGGGGCTCTCTGTTCCGAACTGCAAATTTGCCACAACCACATGAATCGTAGTTCAACAAACTGTTCCAGACGTGCTCAGTAAGCGACCTCTGATCACCGGACCATTCGATCCCAAGGCCAGGATTGCAAGCGTAGTGAGCACTCTTCGCGAACGCCTTTAAGATCTCTAAGCCATTTCAGAAATTGCTGGCGTACCTTGTTCATTGATAAGACCATCCCTGCTCCCCTGCCCCACCCTGGGCCGTCCCCAGACAGAGCCAGCTCACCGAGTGCTGTCCGGGAGCCCCTTGCTTGAACGTGGTGGACATTGAGATGGGGGGCACTACAGCCTGAGAGTTCCATTGCTCCGGTTCCTGGCCCACGTGGATGGCCTGCGTGGCGAAATGTTGGAATCTGGGCAGGAAACCGTTCAGGGTAGCGTCTTTTTTCTGCATGCTGAGCTGCGAAGGAAAGGGAGAGGGAAAAAAAGCAAAATAGCAAAGACTTTTTTTTTTTTTTGCTCAGAAAGAGCAAAGGAGAATCTGGCGGAGCAGAGCACGGGGTAGCCCCGACACCCGGCTCCAGAGCACAAAAGCCGGACCCCACGCCCCTGCGGCTGAGACTTTAGTAGCCGGCCCGGAGGCGGTGTTGGAGGCGGGGCGGAGCCAGCCCGAACCAATGAGCGAAGGCCCCGAAAAGACACTCGCTTCTCATTGGCTGGGAGCGGAGGCGTTGCCTGCAGCGTCGCCGCGACCGCCCTTCCCGGTGTAAAACGTGGAGCGCAGCCGGGGCCGGTGAGTCCACGTGGTTCTCGCCGGTTCCTGCAGCCCGAATTCCTGAGCCCCAGGCCGCGGGGAAATGCCCCTCTGGCTCCTCCGAAGCGCCCAGGCCGGAATTTCGCCCGAGATGGGGAGGGAAAGCCTGGCTTGGTGATGAAACTGCGTCAACAGGCCCGGCAAGTGGCCTCCCCCTCCCCGGGGCCAGTGCCCCTGACCCCCCGCCCTGCCCGCGCTCTTTGTCCCCAGGGCGGTGCTGACCCGCCACCGGCGACCTGGGGGAGATTCATTAGGAAAACCGTGACGCCAGCTGCCAAGTCTCCAGCGTGGGTCGTCATTAACGTCATTAACGGCAGAGGAGCTGCCTTTGAAGGGGACACTGAACTCTCAGCACCCAGCACTCGGCGATCCGATACCTGCAACAGGAGTGACGGTCGTGCTTTCCTTTACAGCTACCGAGGATCTCTGGCAGCCACTAAAACATGAGCCTTGACATCTGTGCTTCATGGAGACACAAAAACAAGGGACCCGACAATAGCAACTGATAACAAACCCTTGGCCTGGGATTGCAGAACTGAAAGCGGTGGGGGAGGGGTGGTGACGTGCAGCGGAGTGAAACAGGACATTGATGGGGGGTTTCTGGGAATTTTGATGGAAGTACGTATAGTGACTATATGTCCAGACCATTAGCTTTAATACTGCAGTAAATATGTGATTCAAACTGAAATATATCTTTAAGCGTTTTGTTTTAAAGTCAAACAAAACGTTTTTTTAAATAATAGCTCCGCAAACTGATCATGTGCTTTGCAAACGACAGGCTGTGCATGGTGCCCAGAATACCACTAGAGGAATCACAACCGCTTTCCCCAACACACTCTAAGGTGTGCCTCCCCAAAAACAAAAATTGTGTGTGTGTTTTTAAGCATAAGGTCTTCAGAGAAACTGTCCTGAATTGAAAAAAAAAAAATCACCAGGAGCTGGAGTAATAGCACAACAGGTAGGGCATTTGCCTTGCAGGTGGTGGAACCAGGTTCGATTACCAGCATCCCATATGGTCCCCTGAGCACAGCCAGGAGTAATTCCTGAGTGCAGAGCCAGGAGTAACCCCTGAGCATCGCTGGGTGTGACCCTAGAAGCAAAAAAAAAAAAAAAAAAATCAGCATAGTTTTGAAAAACTTACCGGAGGGAGCCTCAATTCTTTTTTTTTTAATGTAGGCTTTTTTTTTTTAATTGAGGCTATTTGGAGCCTCAATTCTTACACAAAATGCTTCCATTGTTAGACATCTGAAGGAACATCCTTGCTGGGAAAAGGAGCAGAACCAGAACCGGTCACTACCGACCACTCCCCGGCAGCCCAGCTCCTTCTCTGGCAGGGATCACTCCTTTAAAAGGAACAAAGATCTCCTTGTTTCCCAGGCCATACTGATTTATTTATTTACTATTGGGGCGCTTTTCTAGGACAAGGGACTTTAGAAATATTCCTGTCACTGTCACTGTCACTGTCATCCCGTTGTTCATCGATTTGCTTGAGCAGGCCCAGTAACTACCAAGTGCTAAAATCGTATTAAACCACTGAAGAGCGGAAATACAGAATAAAGAGCTCTTAAATTTTTCCTGGAAGGGCAGGAGCAGTTTGCTCTTCAAAGGCGCTTTCAAGGACGTTTTTCATGAAGGATCATTGCCTAATATCCCGCAAACTTTTAGAAACCTAGCAAAAGTCATCGGCCTTGGGGAAAAGTGAAGAGACTCCCCAAACTGATAGATATTGATATGCAATTAATATTTTATCTAAGAAAAATATGACAAGTTATCAACTGCAACTCAAGAGTACATGGATATAGTCATGCCATCTCACATCTAGGAGGCAGGAAAGGTAGAAAACATTTTTTTTTCTTTTTCGGTCACACCCAGCAATTTACAGGAGTTACTCCTGGCTCATGGACTCAGGAATTACTACTGGTGGTGCTCGGGAGACCATATGGGATGCTGGGAATTGAACCCGGGTTGGCTGTGTGCAAGGCAAATGCCCTACCTACTGTGCTATTGCTCCAGCCCCTAGAAAACTTTTTATTCATTGACCTCTTGGGATTTTTAGACAGATTGATATTTGCATAAGTAGGGCTATTTTGGGCTGGAGCGATAGCACAGCAGGTAGGGTGTTTGCCTTGCACGCGGCCAACATGGCCAACCCGAGTTCGAGTCCTCCACCCCTCTCGGATAGCCTGGCAAGCTACTGAGAGTATCTCACCCGCACGGCAAAGCTTGGCAAGCTACCCATGATGTATTTGATATGCCAAACACAGTAACAAGTGTCGCAGTGGAGACCTTACTGGGCCCGCTTAAGCAAATCGATGAACAATGGGAGGACAGTGACAGTGACAGGACTATTTTATTTAGCATGACTGTAATAATACATTTTCCCAAAGAGGGCACCAATATAAATCCTTTACACTAAGCCTTTGTTGCTCTCGTAGACTGGAGAAGCTCTTAGATGGCCGCCCATCAACCAATCTCAGGTACCAAGGACTCCTTTAACTCAACAATTTTACCTGCAGGAATTTATCCTTGATGGGTACTCCCAGGTGTGTATGAAGACAGGCAAAGATACTCTGCACCTTCTTGTGTTACTCTTTTACGCTGTTTTATGCTGTTTTATGCTGCAGTCTGTGGTGACTTTCCCCTGGCGGGGGAGCAGAAAGAGATAGGAATAGGAGCTGCAATGCTGTGATTGATAAAATCATACATAGGAAAGATAGTGCAAAGCAATGTGTATATTATAGGTATATTCCACTTCTTTCAAAAACACCATGTTGAAATATTTTTAGATAGACATAAGTGGTTTTGTGTTCATAAAAATCATAAGTGGTTTCCTGTGCATAAAAATCATTCTGGTGGGGCTGGAGCAATAGCACAGCGGGTAGGGCGTTTGCCTTGCATGCAGCCGACCCGGGTTTGATTCCCAGCATCCCATATGGTCCCCTGAGCACCGCCAGGGGTAATTCCTGAGTGCAGAGCCAGGACTAACCCCTGTGCATTGCCGGGTATGACCCAAAAAGCAAAAAACAAACAAACAAAAATCATTCTGGTGGCAGAGATGATGGATCTGTGAAGAAAAGGTCATTTTCTATCTATTTTCTTTGCTTTAGTGTTGTATACCAAGGATATACATTACCTGATGAACAATAATACCCCAAATTCTCATTTAAAATTTTAAGCCAACGAGCTGGAGAGATAATACAGCAGGCACCTGCCTTGCACACAGTAAACCTTGATCCCTAGCACCCCTTAGGGGCCCCTAAGCAGCACCAGAAGTGATCCATAAGCATAGCCAAAAGTAAGTCCTGAACAGCTCTGGGTATAGCCTCCAAACAACAACAACAACAACAAAACCAGCCATGGGACTAGAGTGATAGTACAGCAGGTAAGGTGTTTGCCTTGCACATGGCTGACCCAGGTTCAATCTCATATGTTCTCCCCAGCACTGCCAGGAGTAATTCCTGAGTGCAGAGCCAGGAGTAACCCCTAAGCATCGCTGGGTGTGACCCAAAAAGAAAAAAAAATCAGCCAAGCAAGTTATTGAGGGGAAAAATATCTTTTAAATGAATAAATGAGTCTCTCTTGCAAAACACAGTACCCAAAAGAAGAGAGGGAGAACAAGGGGGAATGCCCTGCCACAGAGGCAGGGTGGGACGGGGGGGGGGGGGGGAAGGGGGGAGGGATGCTGGGATCCAGGGTGGTGGAGGATGGGCACTGGTGGAGGGAGGGGTACTTGATCATTGTATAACTGAAACCCAAGCACAAGAGTTTATAAGTCTATAACTGTCCCTCATGGTGTTTCACTAATAAAAAAATAAATAATAAATAAATAAATGATAACTACCTGAAATGGAGCAAGTGCTATATAGTTTGGAGTGTGTGCCTGTTTTTCATGTATGTTAACTTATAAACAACAAAACAGCATCACTGTAATACTGATTAGAAACTATTCATCGTTCTTGGGAAGGGGATTCAGGATAGGGATTCGTCAGTGCTAAGCATGGGTCTATATTTCAGAGATAACAGTTTTGTGGAGTTTCTAGGTCACTTATAGTGGGCCAAAGCACTCCAAATATCAGTTATGGCCCCTACTTTCACTGGTCAGCAAAGTCAAACCTTTTAATTATTCATTTATTTGGTTTGTGGGCCACACCCATGATGCTCAGGAGTTACTCCTGGCTCTGCACTCAGGAATCACTGCTGGCGGCGCTCAGGGATTGAACCTGGGTCAGAAATGTGCAGGGCAAGTGCTTTGCCTGCTGTACTGTCTCTCCAGCCCCAAAACAGGTTTTTGTTTGTTTTTGTTTGGGGGCATAATCAGGGGTACTCAAGATTTATTCCTGGTTCTGCACTCAGAGAATCACTCTTGGCAGAGTTCAGGGGACCATATAGGGTGCCAAGGTTGGAACCCAGGTTGGCTGTGTAAAGCAAACACCCTGCTCACTGTACTATCACTCCAACACCAGATTTCTATTTTTTAAATAAATATTATTCCACTGTTCTTCCTGCATTAACATATGCCTCAGAGACCTGGACCCTACGAAAACAGGATGAGAATGCTATTCGGGTCTCTCAAAGAGGAATCGAAAGAGCTATGCTTGGAATATCACGATTCACTCAAATAAGAGATAGAATCCGGAGTTCTGATCTTCGTCAACGCTCAAGAATCAGGGACGCTGTCTCATTTGCCAAGGCATCAAAAATCAGATGGGCTGGACACGTAATGAGGTTTACAGACTGCCGCTGGACTAGAGCCATTACTGATTGGATTCCACGGGACATCAAAAGATCACGTGGA